TATGAAGTCCTCAAAGAAAGAAAGTGTAATCCCAGAAATTTTATACCCAATCAACCAGTCATTCAAATAAAAATAGAGCAATCTCTTTATTTTATTTATTTATTTATTTTTTTGTTTGTTTGTATTTATTTATTTATTTTGGTATTCATGAACCAAAGAGTATAATCCTTTCCAGAATAAGCTTCTGGAAACAATCATCAGCTAACCTAGGGGAAAAAAGGAGAAGAAGGAGAAGAAGGAGAAGAAGAAGAAGAAGAAGAAGAAGAAGAAGAAGAAGAAGAAGAAGAAGAAGAAGAAGAAGAAGAAGAAGAAGAAGAAGAAGAAGAAGAAGAAGTAGTAGTAGTAGTAGTAGTAGTAGTAGTAGTAGTAGAACTGTAGCATTTGTGCCTCAATTTAAAAACATCATGCCCTGGCTAGTATTGTTCAATGCTCAGAGCATCGACCTGTACACTGAAGGGTTGTGGATTCAATTGCCAGTCAAAGGCATGTACCTGGGTTATAGGTTCAATCCTTGCCTTAGTCAGGGTGGGTGCAGAAGGCAACTAGCCTCTCTCTCTCTCTCTCTCTCTCTCTCTCTCTCTCTCTCTCTCTCTCTCTCTCTCTCTCTCTCCTCTTTCTCTCTTTTTTTCTTTCTTCCTCCTTTCCACTCTCTCTAAAAAAAAAAAAATCAATGGAAAAATATACTTGGTGAGGCTTTAAAAAAATAAATTTAATTCATCATACATTTTTATTTGCTACAGTATGGTCCTATCTTTATTCCCTACTTTAATGTTATCACAAAATCAAATACTCTAACTTGCAAACCAGGAGTAATCTTAGTCACCCACCTTCCTCATTTCCACATCTAATTAATCAATAAGTCATATCGAATTGCAAAGCTTTCTCTCAAATCTTTCCTCCACTTTCCATCTCTATTGCCAATCTTTATTTCAGGTATGAGTCACTCTTGTCTGGAGAATTACAATGGTCTCCTAATTGCAAGAGTAATTTAAAAAACATTTATCAACTGACTGGCACAGGAACAATCAGAATGGGTACCAGTCAGAACACTGGTGCTTTTCAGCTATCTTTTATCCCTTACCTAACTGGCCTCCTTGCCTCCAATATTCACTTATTTCAAACCATTATTCACAATGTAGCTACTGTGATTTTTCTATAGCATTAAGTTGATTGTGTTACTCCTTGACTTAAATTCCTTTAACAGTTAACCATTACCTTCAGCGTAGTTCCACAGATGAAGTCTACTGTGAGCAAGGTCCTTGAGGACCCAGTCTCCAACTAATTTTTAAAGTTCCAAATCTCATTACTCTCTCACATTCGTTGCCCTACAGTCACTCTGAACTCCTTCCAGTTTGGTAAACATACCATAAGCTCTTTGAGATTCAAGTGTGTGGTTTACAAGTCAAGTGTCATAACTGGAATAGGAGCAAAATATGCATTCTCCTAAAAGGCCCCAATTATGATTCTGAAGCTACACCTGAGCATCATGAAAATCAACATAAGTTCCAAGGCCAAGAGGCAAAGCAACCTCCTCTACAGGCCACCAGCCAGGTCTCTTCTTTCTTAATTCCCTTTCATTTTGAGTTTTTTGTTTATTAAACAATCAGCCACTTTATATTACAGACACACTTCATTTTTTTTTTTTTTTGACTAGTTGACTAACAAGATAGTCACTGAGGAATGGATTCTCAAAGGGAGGCTGTTCCTATCAATTGTGGCAGGTTAGCTACCTCTTCCATGAAACAAGGCAGAGCTGCCCTCAGGGATCAGGATTCAGTCTGCTCAGTCACTCATTCATTGTTGGGACCTTAGGCATTGGACTCAGTAATGGTCTAAGACAGTAATGGTCTCTGTTCTTATGCAATTTCAATCTAAAGATAACAGACAAATACAAATTATTCAGTTAAAGAGATTAAGGGGAACCCTGTATGGCCAGAGGTCAGCCAAATTCTCCCTGAGTAGATGATACTTAACCTGAGGCCTGAAGGATGACAAGGCATGAGTCATGCGAAGATTCAGAGGAAGCACAATCAGAGAGTTAGTCTCTGTAGAGAAAAACAAAACTACAGTGGTTTTCTCAGATTAGTGCCCACTAATGGCTTCTCACCCACTTATACCAGGAAAACAATCTATGTGGATATTGGTATCTTTGTAGAGAGAAATGAAATAACCCAATTATGTTTATGAATAGTCTGGTTGAAATTCATATTTAGGATCACATTTTCTTAAATGTGCTTTGTGAATTTCCCTTTACATGTATTTGTTCCTGATGACCTTCCCATCTGTACTGCTCACTGCCAACATCTAGTGCAAAATTACTACCATTGTTTGAAAGCCTGCTGCAGCCCACGCTTCCCCTTACAAACTTCTCTGACTGCTTCAACCCTCTGAAATCATAGTCCCCTCTGAACTCCTACAGCCCTTCTACCTTTTTGTGCTAGTCCTCTTCCATGGACTATTTCCTTCCAGGAACACATGTCTTCTTCTCTTCCTAAGGTTCAAGAAGCGGCATCAAGCCTGGCCAGTGTTGCTCAGTGGGTAAGCATCAACCCATGAACTAGGAGGTCACAGTTCGATTCCCAGTTAGGGCATATGCTCAGGTTGCAGACTTGATCCCCAGTGCGATGGGTAGAGGCAGCCAATCAATGACTTTCTAATCATTGATGTTTCTCTCTCCATCTCCTTTCCTCTCTCTGAAATCAATAAAAACTTTTTTTTTTTTTTTTTAAAGAATCGGCATCAAGTTTTTGTGGCCAGCTTCCAATTTTTTCCTCAGTGTTGGATGGATCAGTTATAACATTTATTCAGCAAGCCCTTTCAAACTGAACTAGACCACCCACCTATCTCAATAATTCCTCATAACAAAAGTCCTACATAGGAGTTAGGATCATTTGACTTTTTATGAAGGAATTTGACTGATGGATATATAGATAAATACCTACAGAAAAAGATCTAAATGCAAACAGATTCTCTTCTCTATGTGAGTTCCTCAGAACACTTGCCAGGTAAGCAAAAACGATCATAAGATTTCCTCAGCCAGAGCTCAGGGACTAGCAGTTATGAGAAAATCGACCAAGTCAAGGAAAGAAAACCCAAACTTAAGTTTTTCCCACTTCAAACAACAAGGCAATGTTCCAAACATTTTTACAGTACAAAAATTTTATTTTTTGTTAGGATAATTTAAAGTTTAAAACTGAAGTAGGCATATTCATTTTACAAACAAGATATTCTTTCATAAGTAAGACCATTAAAAACAGTAAACAAAAAAGCTGTCTTTACAAAAAGCTCTGTGCATAGCAACTTTATACTGTATATAACTGACAAAGCAAAAAGGAGAAAAAGGTAACTATACAGTTTGAAAATGAGACCTTACTATACAAAAGGTAGAGAAGACAATGGTTTTTAAACCATGCATATTGAAATGTGCAAAGAAAAACTGGGGAGAAATACGATGTTATAACAACAACAACAAAAAAGGGAGATAAATAATGAAGTAAATTGTCCCTTTAAATGAAAAAATCTTACACAGCTCCTCTTATAAAGATAGGATAGAACTTGTAGTTACCTATAGAAATACTTGTCTTCCAAGTGGCACAAAAATAACCTGGGACCAGAATGATTCAACAGCAATGACTAAACAGGACAGAGTAGCTTTGTCTGAAATTTATTAGTACACTAAAAATAATCCTTACACACATTTATACAATTAAATAAATCTGTTGCTGCCAAGGTTCTAGCTGAATGGTCAAGGTGTCTGGTATTTAGTTACACACATTTTTTTTTTTTTCGGTGTAAAGCTACCAACAAATTCTACAATCATTTTGAAGACAGTACTGCACTCATCTTCATGCAAGAGCAAAATTCACAGATTCTAAAAGCAATGCTACTTTAAAAAAACATTTCCTTATGTTGGATTGGCTCAAATCCAGGTCTAGACATGCTTGACTTTGTTCTGCCTTCCCTTCTGGATGGTAATGCTTGTGTTCTACACACTTTCCCCTCCCATCAGCTTTTTCACTAGGGAACTTTCTCTCGTGTGTTTCCCTATATGTTGGCGCTTCAAGCCCTGACTGTGAGGGACTGTCAGCAAAAGTTATGAGCATGTCAGGTCTCCAAAACCTTGGATTCTCCTGTGCATAGAAATAATATTTGGGTCATGTTGGGTAATTCCAGAATAGATTACAGGCAAATAAGACTGATGAGGTTGAGTAGTAGTGGGCATGTAGCATCTAAAATTGGCTCAGATGCACGAATGGTGTTTTTCCATGAGAGCTGCATCCATTTCTAATGTTAGAAACCCAAACTGGAGTCTGTGTATAGACTATCTTATGTGCCAATGAGTCAACAAGGAAAACCCTGACCTGGAAAATAATGAGATCCTTATTGGCAATCCAAATAAGTCTGGATGCATCCCCGGATCATACAGGCTCCTGCAATGTTCCCCCCTTCCCCCCTTCCACTCTGAGCCACTCCCAGAACTATGGAAAGCCCATTGCAGCCTGTGTAACTGAGCTGCTTGGAACACAGATGTCCCCAATCTCTGATCCTGCTAAAAATCTGTATTTCCATTTTTTATTATTATTTTTTTAATACCAGGACAAGGATTTAGGGCTTTTAACATTCCTCTTCCATACTCCATTCCATTCTTGGCCTGAAAACTGTGTCAAGTTGGATATATACATTTTTTTAAGAGAGTTTAATGCCTTGAGAGGGCAAATCTAAAGAGAGAAGGAAGGACTTGACCTTCTAAGAGTACAAGAAACAGAGTCACCTGTTTCTGAAGTTCTGTGGGGCTTCTACCTCAGTGCTGAGCCAGGTAACCCAAGAGGAAGGGGTGCGTGGCTCCGTGAAGACCCAAGGGGTGGCTGGGTGGGGAAAGTCACATGGCTTTGGCTCTTCTTTCAGGTGAGACTTCATTCCCTGTGGTGGAAAGCTGGGATGCACTAAAGCATGGGAATTCTCTGTACTGCTCAGGGGACAATGTTGAAAGTTAATATAAGTGTTGTTGTTTTTAAATTTCACACAGAGTGACTACCAAAAGGGACTTGTAGACTATTTAGAAAGCAGATGGGGATGGGAATGAATTGATGGGCTTGAGCATTATATATCTGCATGGGTTTGAATTTTTGTTTCTGTCAGGCTGTTCTGTAGGAATCTACATCAGGTACCTGTTCTTGCCCATGGGTCAATAAAATGATGGAAAAAGAGGGTGCAGGATGGGGGGGAAAGAGTCTAGTAAGTAACTGCAGTAATAATCACACATCTTTTAAACTTGTTACTACATGTTTGCATCAGTTTCATTTTACATCAGAAAGAGAACTGCCTCTTTCCAAAAAGGTCTTAATTCCTACCTCTACTTACAATAAGTTACACGTTTATTTATTTAAATAATTGTAAAACATTTTAAACTTTTCCCTTTTTTTAAAGAGATTAAACTATAAGCAAACACACATACAACAACATGTCATTCAATTCGGGTTTCATTTTAAGAAAGTCTTCCATGCTGGTACCCTGTTTTGTTCAGTTTTTTTTTTCTGCATAAACTAAATTGGTATCTGAAAGGCTTCATAGAAAATAGAAACTTTCAACTTTTTTTTCCTACAAAGAAAAACAAATAGTATCCAAAATATTAAGCTTGAGTTGTTTGCCAATTTTTTTTAAATATTTTACAAACATAGGAAGGTGGTTATAATGTTCATAACAAAGAATTGCATTTCTGCTTTTAGCACTGACTACGTCAATGACATCTTTTGTCCTTGTCCCCAAGAGGGTCAGTTTGTATAGCCACCATCAGAGCTACACAAGGAAGGAGAAACCAGGTAACACGGGCTCCTTGTATACAGAAATCTGTCCATCTGTTCATGTGGGGGGCATAAATCTCCCCAAAGACCTCATAGTGCTTTCTTCATTGTTGGTCCATCAGAGTAAGTAGTTTTGTGCTATAAGAAAGCAGCTCTGCCTCTTCATTACATCGGGGGCACGACAAGTCCGGTCATGGCTGCAGGGAAAGAAGGACACAGGAATGAATCTCTGAGGTTTTTTTTACATTGAAGGCTCTAACTCAGAGAGGGGGCAGGCGATGGGACTGACGGGGTCTGATGCAATCCAGAGAGATGGCACCCTCAGGTTTGGTCTAGCAGAAAGCTTACAGAGCTGCTGAAACTTTCCTAATCACTAAGTACAAACAAAGCTTGTTGAAGTTTTGCTTGGGAGGCCAAGAATTACGTTTTGTTTTATATGAATGGGTTGTATACATGATGTAGTGTAAACTACAACATGTAAACTAAATGATACTACATGTATAACATGTTTTTCATTATTAGACAAAAATAATTTCTAGGTTATACAATTCCAGACTACTTAGTTGGAACAGGAGAGAATACTCCAGGGGCTGAATCTATTGAGTTACTTATGAGGCATCCTATACAATAAAAGCCATTCAACCAACCAAAGTGTAACATGCTACTAATGATATGCTAAGACTGCTCAACAACTCGCTATGATGTGCACTGGCCACCAGGAGGCAGTTGACTGGTTGATCAGTTGCTATGAGGTGCACTGAGCACCAGGGGGCAGACAGTCGACCGGTTGGTTAGCTTGCTGCTGGAGTCTGGCAGATCTGGACTGAGCAAGATGGGTGGGACACACCCTGGAGCCCTCCCATAGTCCCTCCCCACCAGGGGGCAGACACAGTGAGCCGAGTGGTAAAGAACAGCAAGTAGGTGGGCAGTAAGGAGAGAGGGATCCTGGACTGCAAGAAGGTGCAGGAGGGGCTAAGAGACACAAACTCCCTCAGTGCACGAATTTCATGCACCAGACCTCTAGTCATTTATAATAAGTCAGACTTTCTATCCACCCTAGGTTTCTATCTATTCTAGCTGAAGTTTGATTAGCTTTTCCCCTAACTAGCTTATCTTCCTTTAGTGCTCACTGCTGCTCTGTGATGCTCAGTCACGAATAAATGCTGATCCACTGGAATAGAGGACTTAATTTAGTTCCTGATTTGGAAATCACTCCAACATCACTCTTCATCCTCCACCAAAGTATAGTGTGCAGCATCTCCTCCATGTAGTCAGGATGATGTGGACAGTCTGTCTGGGTGCATCAGGTCCAAGACTTTCCCTTGACGTGGGAAAGAAAGCAGCAACCACACGGTGTAGAAAAGTCACACAGAAATGCACCCCTCTCTGGCTTTGGCTTTTGAGCAATAAACCCATAGATTTTTCACATCCTTGGAAACTGGCAGAATCATTTTCTTGCATTAAAACTTTCAACTATATCTAGAATTCGATCCTTCAGCTATATTGTCTATATCTCTCCTAGGGCTTATCAATTAGCATAGAAGCATTTTGCTGAGTGGAGCTTACTAAGCTTATAAGCAAATGGACAAAAGTCTTCCTGTTTTCCCCAACACACCTCTCTCCTCCATCTTCTCCTCTTCCCCTTTCTGTTCCTACTCCCCCTTCTCTCTGCCTCCACTCCACCCTCTCCTCCTCCCTCTCCTTCTGCACCTCCTCTCCCACCAGCTAGTCTTCTTGGGCAAAATTATCAGCCGTATATTTCCCTGCCCATACAGCCTTTATTGAATGCTTGCGAGATCTGGATTAAGGTCTTACACAGCTAGCAAAACCTTAATTATTTTTGCCTGTATTACTATATATCGAATCAATGTAACTTTTCAATAAAGGCAGTTCAATTCTGGACACTCCCTGATGATTTGGAGACACAGCAACCCTGGTAATTATCCTAGAGTGTAGGAGGTTTTCTTATTTTACTTTTTTTCCTGGAGGGAGCTGGAAAATGAATCAGGTGCCTGGTGCATAATATTATCTTGACACTCTGCACTCATCAACTGTAAATGCCTGAGAGATGAGGTGGAGGGTGGGACAATGACACTACATGTATAGCTCTCTGGTAGAGGGAATCTGGCTCAAGTTTTCAACTTGCACTTGTCTATTGCACTAAAAACTCATCAGCCCCTTCTTTTTTCTAGGTCCTCAGAGAGCTACCTACAAAGCTTGTTAAAAGGGCAGAGTCGCGCAAAGAACCAGCTGCACTGCATGCCAGAAGAACAGCAGACTTTACATATTTTTCCTTCCTCCTGGTCTCATGTCAGGCACCAGGTGGGCTAGATCTCTGCTACATGGTGACCCTGACTTTTTGCTGGTAGAAACCGAAGCCCATAGACAGAAAGCAGAAGTTAACTGGAGAAAAAAAGTAAGCATTTTTGTGGAGGAGGAGAGAAAATGGCTTAACAGCATGTTGTCCATTTTTTTACCTTTGGCATTTCATGGGAAAGCAATAATCCCTCTTTGGTCCAGGTGAGGAGTAGATATGGGTAAAAGGTGAGAGAGAAATTGGACTATTCTTGTCCTCAGAGAGACAGTTGGTCTATCTGAGCACCAGTTCTGGAGTCAAAATGTCTAGGTCGAGTCATCAGTCACTTGCTCTGTGGCCTTGGACAAGCTACTTAACTGAAAATGGCGCTAAAGGTCTGACCTTCCCCTTTGGGTCACATGGGACAATTCATGTGAAGCGTTTGGTTCAGTGTCTTGCACGTGGTGCTCAGTGGTGCTCAGTGAAGGTCAGCAAGTATGAGAGGGCGTTAGTCGCACATGTCCCCTGCAGATGATTAAGACCATCTCATCTTACACGTTAGAGAAGAACCTTTCCATCAGCCTGTGATCACCCAACCACCTCAGACCTATTTTTACTCTCCCATTTGTCTCTGAAGAGATGAAGTGCCCTTGCAATCCCAGGTTCCTTCATTCAGTGACTGTGGGTAGTACAGCTTGGTTTTAACCTTGTCTGCATCAATGGACATTGTAATATTGAACCTCGAGCTTCTTTTCTCTGGGTCCAAAATGAGGAAGAGTGGGGGGTCAAGGCCTCTGAAAGGCATCCTTTGTCGATCCCAGGCTTCTCTCTGCTGGTCTGTGCGAAATATCCCTTACCATTCCTGATCTTTACACAAATTACTTCACAACAACCCTTGTAGACAGCTTTGAGCTTTTCTATTTAACAGCCTAAGAACTGAGGCTCTCAGATGATGATGATTTGTACAGATTCACATAGCCTGGAAGAGAGCTGAGCTAGGACTCTGATAAAATCTAGTGTTCTTCCAATGGCTGATATCCCTTGAGGTTCACCCCAGCATTCTCTTTTATTTCTTCACACATTACTTAATATTTTCATAATTTTTACTAATGTCTGCAATCCTAATTTAAGTGCTTCCCTTATCCTTTTCCTTCCCTCCCTGCCCTCCTCCTTCTTCTATGGTTCAAATCACCAGAAAACTTTGTAGGAAATTATAGAATCCAAAAAAAGGCTCATGACCTTGTTGTAATTCTATAGAAATGAAACCAGAGACCAAAGCCTGTGACTAGATATAACCAACTAAATAGTTACTCCTAAAGATCCAATCAAGATTGTGCAGCTCACACAATACCATATATAGATCATGTATTATAGAATTGTACACTTGAAACCTATATAATTTAATTAACCAACGTAACTCCAATAAGGTCAATAAAAATATTTTTTTTTTAAAAAAAAGAATGTGCACCTCAGCCACTCTCACAGCCTAAGCATTTCAACCTGTGGTGAGTAACAGCTCACACAGCTGAGGACCCTAGAGAGGGTCTTCTGGCTATTTGGTTGCTATTGTCCCAACAGGAAAGCCTCCCAATGACCTACACAAACTTTTCCAACTCTTTGAGCCAACTCAATCCTGATTGGGTAACACCACAGGGAGCCTTGGGTATACACGATAGCAGGGCAGAGCCAGTGAAAAATTCATCTTGGCTTTGAGTTAATAGTTGGGTGGGCCACCAGGTGGGCCTCCCTGGACAGGACAGATCCGGAATATCTGAGATAAACAGCTGTACATCCCCAACTCTGTTCTTTGTGAGAGAGGAGGTGAAGGCAGGGTTGCTAGGGGAAATCAAGTTATACTTTTCCCCCTCAATGTGAAACTGAAAATATTTGCAAGAGTTGCCTGGAAGGAGGAGAGGACCACATCCCTCCATTTTCCTCCCATACCTGCAGTCCTCCTGAGCTTTTCTTGGGCCTCTCACACTACACTTCCCCAATGAGACCTGTGTGGCCCCCACTTGGCTTAAGGGACATGACTAAAATCAGATAACATGTAAAGGGGAGACATCATCACTGGAGTGGTTGTGGAGAAAGGGAAGACACAGCAAATATTCAACAATTGTTGTTAGTCAAAGCCATCATTGAAAAGGTTCTGAGCATGTACCCTAGCAATGGGACGGAAACCACTGCTTTGATAAAAGGTGGGCTTGTTTCTCCATGAATCAGACATCTGGAGAATATATATATATATATATATATATATATATATATAATCAAATATATAGATGTTTCCAACTACTCACAAGTTAGGTGGCATGTAGATGCAATGGCTTTGTCTAATTAGAAGAAAAAGAATTTTCAGGGATTCTTCTAAGTGCTGGGCATTTAGTTCTCATCTGACAGTTTCTCTGTTAAGTCACTTGACTTCGAAGAGACACCGTCGCCTCTGATGGTAGGAAGGGAGAGAAACCTAACACACCTTCCAGAGCTCTGCTCAAACCCCGCCCACGATGAAACCTCGCAGGTGCCCTCAAAGGAGCAGGAAGCCACTCACTATCATAAAGCCCCTCGGCAGATGCGTCCCAGGGGTGCCAGGGGTCATCCAAGGCTCTGCTGACTGCAGGGGCCTTGACCACGAGGGGTTAACCAAACCTCTGCCTGCTTTGGTTTCATTCAACACTGCTGGTCATGAATGTTTTCATGTCAAAACATGGGGAACAGCCTAAAAATAATGTGGGTCGTCAGGATCCACAACGTTCAGCAGTTTCCAATTTGCTCTTTTGCCGTCAGCTGCCTCCCATTCACACTGAGATGATTAGATTTTCATGTACTCATCACATTTGTGTTACGTCATGTCACATTAGATTTTAAGACGTTGCTCAAAATGGGTTTGATGGGTGACCAGTTTCTGTTCTTAGACACAGTATCTTTTTTTTTCTTCCTTCTCTACACCACCCCAATCAGGCACCTGCTATCAATTTGACCAGCACACAGCCAGAACGCTCGGACCTGGCTGGTGCTCCTGAGGGGCCCTGTGCATTTGTGCCAAGGGAATGTGTATGCACTGCAGATGGCTAGACAAATAGGTAAGCGGTCATCACCATGAAGCCTCCAACCTGGTGATCAGGCCCCTTCTAGGAAATAGTGATGTGTCCTCGTGAAAAGCCAAGGTGTGGGGAATCCAGACACTCCCGGAGGGTATGTCTGGCTCTACCAGTTAACTCTGTGATCATGCAAAGTTGTTCAACTTCTATTTCCCCCCATCTTGCTCTTGAGTGAAGTACTAGCCCAGGTGGAAAGCCATTCACGTACCACTATGAAAACAGCAAAGCATCTCTTCGTCAGTAAATTGGCTAGAGATAGAGCATATGGCCATGCAGTGTGCTCTTACTCTGCTGGCCTGTGGCACGTGAAACGTGCATACTCCCAGAGCAGAAGCTTGGCTTACCTCTGAATCCATTTCCATTGCCACTGGAGCAGGCAGGCGAAGGGGAGCCTTGGGGCCTGATGACAGGGGCAAAGGCACTCTTCTGTTTGACAGCAGGAAAAACTGAAGAGGAAAATGGGAGGATGGAAGACGTGCTGGAAGATCCAACAGTGGGACTTGATGACATGACTGGAAAGCAAATGCACAATCTTCTTTTAGAGAGAGACACATGGAGAAGTTCCTTCTTCAGTGCATATAACCTTACACAGCTATTGAGAAATGACTAATTTGTTCCAGCTATTGTTCCAGGGATTTAACAATGTGGAATGTGACACTGTCCCTGCCCTGAGCAATAAATAGACAAGGAGAACAACCAAGAGGGTGATAATTTAACTGGAGGTACATACACAGCGAAGCAGACCTAGCGGGTAGAGTGCCCCCCTGCCTGGGAGAGTAGGAAGGCATCAGCAGGATGTAATATTGTGATGGGTCTTGATTCATGAAGAGAAACTCAACAAGAGAAGACTCAGACCAATATCTGAAAAAAACATCAAATCTACTCGAGAATGGAAACCTCTTTTTCTCCCTGAAATAAATCCTGTCTGGGAGCTATCTACTTCCCTAGCAATTCTCAGGGCTCCCGAGTTTTGAGGAATGGGGTAACATCTTCTCGGAGAGTGACATCTCTACGGGCCACTTCCTCATTAAATGTAAAAGTTTATTAACATTTAGGAGATTACTTCCCTCTCCCTCTCCTTGCAGAGCTCCTGGGAAATAAAGCTGTGAGTCAGCCTCCTCTGATGTAATGTGAAGGAAAAACACCAATATTAATGCTAAAATTACTTAAAGGGAGCCAAAAGCTAAGTGTCGCAATTTCAAAAAATAAAATAAAGACAACTTACACAATGAAGTGCCCCACCTCTTAAAGTCAGATACTCCAAGTTACATCACACAAGAAGGTAATTTTAAAAAAAATCCTCACCCGAGGATATCTTTTTATTGATTTTAGACAGAGAGGAAGGGAGGAAAGAGAAAAACATTGGTATGAGAAATATCCATCCTGTACACACCCGACCTGGGTACTTGCCCTGACCAGGAATCGAACCCATGACCTTTCAGTGGATTGAACAACGCCCCAACCAATGGAGCCACACTGGCCAGATTAGTGATTTATCTAAAACTGCTTATCCTGAGTAGTCCTAATTTTATCTTCTATGTGTAACTTGCTCAAGAAAGGGGTAAACTGAAATTCACATGGGTAATATTATTCAACTTAGCATCTTATAATAGAAGGTCAAGCTTCATGGACTCCTTTTGGCATCCTCTCCAGAATTCTGAACTGTCCAAATCACATGACTTGGTAAAAGAATTGCTAGAACCCCATAGCAAAGCCCACATTAAGGCTGGCAGTGCTAACTAACGTCTGCTTCGGACCTTCAGTGGCCCAGCCTCTCCACAATGAGATTTTGAAAGTAAGGACATGAGTGTGGCTTATGGTTCAAAGAACAAGTACAAGGTGAACTGAAGGTCAAATGTTCTGAGGTCCTATGTAAGACTCCATCTTACGTTCCCCTCTATCATTATAAAGATATATTTCAGTCTACATTCACACAATTTGTATACTATAATGCAATCATACAGCATATCTCCAATATGTTTTTTACAGCCACACTGCATACCAACTTTTCAATAAAAAATATTTATCTAAAAACTGCTTATCCTTAGGTAGTCCTGATTTAAAGAGCTATGCAGAAGGAAGCATCTGGGTATACCTCTGTCTTTCTTCAAGTAATATGATTTTTTTTTTTTTTTAAAGCTGGAAAGGAAGACAAAGTCCAGAAAAATCTCACGTAATACTTAAAGATGCAAATGAAGAAGATATGGGGTTACTCTGTTAAGCACTGGGAGTGAGTCCTAGTCATAGTTCCAAGCAACATCTCTCTGCTCACCTTGTTTTTAGCAACAATAAAATGGAGCAGGAAGAGAGGGAACCTCTCTCCTTTCTGTGAGGCACAGAATTAGAGGCCAGAGAAAAGCTGAGACTCAGGAGGCCCTGACTCTGACCACACTGTGTGATCCATGCAGGCTCCCAAACGGTGCCTTGATCTCTGTGTCTGCAATAGAGAATGCCCTCATATCCCACAGCAGAGGGGGCGGTGAGAATGTGAATTAGACACACACACAAACACCCATGCCTGCGTGTGCGATTCCACTTCCATTCAACATATGACTCACTTTAACAAATATTTCTTTTCCATAACAGATCCAACTTAAAATGGGTTGATTAGATCAAATGTGGTTGCCTCTCAGGGGAGTCACCCGAAGTTTTACTAAATGGCATAAAAGAATCGCTGAGAGCTGAATAAGCAGAGAACTATAAAGTGCCCACTCAAAATATTTTTTAACTATTTTTTGTCAAATGCCAAATTATATCCAAATTAGTTTTAAATTGAATGCAAATATAATAAAAATCTTAAAAAGAATTTTAGTTTGTATGGGTCAACAAACATAACTATGCTTATCCATTTAGAGAAACAACACTAGAGGAACCAGAAAGTTTTGTTTAAAAATTGTTTGAAGTAGGAAGAAGGCATTTATCTTAACATATTAAGAGTTATAATAAATCTACATCCATGAAATAAGTGTTATACTAGCATACATATAATCAGACAACTCCTTGGAGAGTCCAGAAACAGACCTGAGTATATATATGAGAATTAAAATTTAATAAAGGTGACATTTCAAATTAGTGTGGAAATAAATGACTGGGAACTATACACTAGCCATTTGGAGACTAAATTTAGAGTGCTTCCTCATGTTAAACTCTAAAGTAAATCTTAGTGCATTAAAGAGTTATTTGTAAAAACAAAATTATAGAGGTGCTAGTGGAAAAATTAGGAAGGTTATATAATTTACATAATCCTTTCAACCCCCAACAGAAAGGCAGGAGACAGATTTGCTACAGGACAAAAAACTTCTGGAACACACACAGAAAAGGCAAACGACAAACTAGTAGAAATATTTGTGATAATTATCAGATGTTTTTAAATCCTCAATAGCTAATAAGCTTTTGTAAATTAATTAAAAAATGAAAACTAAGATTAAGAAGAAATTAACAGGGCAGGGAATTAGGTCCTTTCTTAAGGGGCCATGCCTGACTTCTTTGGAGGGACTTTGACAATAAGTACCAAGGTATTTGTGTTTTTAGACTGAGTGGCCAGATGATTATGATCTCTTAACACATAATAATCCGGTCACTCAGTGTATATCCTATATAATAAAAGTCTAATATGCAAATTGTCCCCTCGACCAGGAGTTTAACCAGCAGGCAGGCTGGCCAATCACCCAGTCCCCTCCCCCTGGCCAGGCTGGCCAGACCCCACCCATGCACAAATTCATGCATCGGGCCTCTAACACACACACACACACACACACACACACACACACACACACACTGAGTGGCCAGATTATTATGCATTCAGAGATCATAATAATCTGGCCACTCAGTGTAAATATGCATATTTTTTAACCCAGTAATTGAGTTTCTAGAAGCTAACTGCAAGGGAATAATCATTAATGTGCAGAAACTAGATCCAAGGGCATTTTTATAATTGTGAAAAAGTGGAACATAACTGAAGTGATCATCAATAAGTTTCCATGAAACGGACCACTACGGAAACTAATGTTTGACAAGAATATTGAATGATATGGGAAGATATGCTTAGACCAATAAAGCAGATTAAATAATAACATATATGTCAAACCCACTATGTCCAAACTTTTTAACCTCATCAAAAGATATGTTTATATTGAGAGAAAGAGAGGGAGAGAGAGAGGGGTGGGGAGAGAAAGAAAGAAAGATATACATAATATAGAAACATTGATTGGTTGCCTCTCATACACACCTTGACTGGGGATCAAACTGGAAACTTAGGCATGTGCCCTGACTGGGTATGAATCCAAAACCTTTTGGTGTACAGGATGATGTTAGTGGTCAGCAGACTCATTAGTCAATAGAGCCAAATATCGACAGTACAACGATTGAAATTTCTTTTGAGAGCCAAATTTTTTTTCAACTTAAACTTCTTCTAACACCACTTCTTCAAAAAAGACTCGCCTAGGCCATGGTATTTTGTGGAAGAGCCACACTCAAGGGGTCAAACTCGCAAGCCACAATTTGCCGACCATAACTCTAACCAATTGAGTCACCTGGCCAGGGCTACATCCAAACTTTTAGTGATATACTAGTACATACTAGTATCCCTGATTGATGGGATTAAGAATACTCTTAAATTTATTCCTTTTACTTGCCCATATTTTCAAAATTTTCTATAATGAACAGGTATTACTTTTCATGTAAGAGAAATCAGTAAAGGCTATTAAAATAAACAAATAGGGCCGAAGCCGGTTTGGCTCAGTGGTAGAGCATCGGTCTGCGGACTAAAAGGTCCCAGGTTCGATTCCGGTCAAGGTCATGTACATTGGTTGCGGGTACATCACATCCCCGGTAGGAGGTGTGCAAGAGGCAGCTGGTCGATGTTTCTCTCTCATCGACGTTTCTAGCTCTCTATCTCTCTTCCTTCCTCTCTGTAAAAAGTCAACAAAATATATTTTTTAAAATAAAAAAATAAAAAAATAAAAAAATAAAAATAAACAAATGGGAAATCTATAATTTTTTTTGGTAAAAAATAATATAATTCTTAGCGATAGGCATAATAGCTGTCTTGGAAGTCTATGTTCCTCTTCGATTTAAGGCTTTCCTTCCTGTAAAATAGGTTTTTTGTTTCCAGAAAAGCAGAGACTAATAAATTTGCAAGTCCCTGGGGAAAAGTTTGTTGATTGTAGTTAATTTTGCAAAGCAAACATCACTCCTAATGTCTAGGACACAGGCCTGCACCATCAACAGGTCTTACGGAGCCTAGCGTCCTATCTGTGACTTGGGTAATTCTGCCACTTTCCTTCTACTCTTTCTTTGGTCTTATGGCAGAAACTCATTAGTTGTGCATCAGAACAGACACTGCAGTTTTCAAAATCTGTCTATTCGTGGCTGGAAGGCTATACTTTAAAAGTTAACAGTGGTTATCTCTGCCGAGAAATAAAGGGTGTCATTTTCCCCCTTTTTACATATACATGCTTTTCTAATTACCTATAATGAGCATGTTACTATTGTAATTGGATAGTTTTTTCTTTCCTGGAGAAAAAGTCAAAAGAAATAGATGAAAATGCTAACAAGGTTTTAAAAAAATTTTTTTTAATTGATTTTTAGAGAGAGACTAAAGGAGAGGGAGAGAAACATTCATGTGAAAGCGAAACATCGATCAGCTGCCTCTGTGGACACCCCCTCCTGGGAATCGAACCCACAATTCGGGCATGTGCCCTGACAGGGAAATGGACATGCAACCTTTGGTGCACATGACGGTGCCCAACCAACTGAGCCACACTGGCGAGGGCAACGGTGTGGTTTTATTTATGGTGAGAATAGGTTTTCTTTTTAAAACTATTTTCATGGGCTCCAATTTTTCTATAATAATCCTTTAATAATCTATAATAGCAAATATCTTGATATTCATGTTTGAAAATATAAAAGTATTGAGGCTCAGGGCATAGTCTAAGACTATGTGAGTGAAGCAGGAGTCTCTGAGGACATGTTGGATTTTTGTCTTACGGATTTTGTTCCAAAATGTTGGATTTGGTTGGTGGCTGTTGTGCTTTGGACTAAGTCGTCCCTGGGTGTTGCAGTTTGAATAGGCCGTCTTTGGGGACACCAGAATGCAACGACTCGGGAAACTTGATCACACGTACCAATGAGAATTTCTCTGGCCATCTCTCTCTATGGATAAAAGCCAAAGCAAAGGCCGGCACTCCTGGCCCAGAAACCTCTGTGAACATGGGGAGTTCAGGAAAAACCCCTTTTCTTCTTCTCAGGATTGATTGGCCTGCACGGTCCCAGCTGGACCTCAGCGGGCACACATCCTCATTTGCACTGAGCCATTGCATTTGCTGGCACCCGGGGGCCTGTCAGCGTTTCGTTATAACCCCCTATTGTCAGGGGCTTAGAACTCAGCCATAAAAACTTGCACTGAGCTGGAACTTGGCACACAATGCTACCGCCAGGAAGTGGGGTTTGTATGTGAAATTGAAAAAACATCTGTTTGGCCATTTTTGAAGCAGTGTGAGAGCAAACGCAGTAAAGACGAGGGTTTCTGATACTCTGCATTGGCCGTAAAGGAAGTCACCTTGACCAAAGGCTTGGCTTTATTTCTTTTTAATATCTCTGGCAAGCAACTGTTCCATGGCCTGGCCACATCAGACTATTTATTTATTTTTAGTTTAAAAAATAAAGTGAAAAATTATAGAATGCTGTTTTCAGACACATGCACTGAAATGATAAAAAAAAATTTCTTTCTTATTTTTAATTTTTATTTTTTATTTTCCAGAGATGTTAAGACTTGGCTGGTTAGAAATGAGAAAGACAGGTCAGATTTTATTGGAATGAACTCCACAGGGTATTCTGTATTTTAGCAGTAGAGGATTTTATTGTAATGAGTTAGTGAATGCACTGTTTGGTTTCCCATTCTCAGTCTGAAACTCCTTCAGACACTTGCTCAGAAAATGAAGGTGCAAGGACCACACACACCCAGGAGGAACTAGAAGGAGGTTCTCGGCTGTTTCCTACTCCTGTTGGGCAGGGCATCTTCCTCTTTCTATTCTGTGCTGTCTTCCTTATTTGTTGTTGTTGTTAATCCTCACCTGAGGATATTTTCTCCATTGCTATTCAGAGAGAGTGTAAGGGATAGAGGGGGGGGGGGTAGAGAGAGAGGGAGGGAGGGAGAGAGAGAGAGAGAGAGAGAGAGAGACATCGACGAGAGAGAAACACATCAACTGGTTGCCCTCCATGGGGAGTGAAATTGTAATTCAGGTATGTGTTCTCAATCAGGAATCAAACCCATAACCCTTTCATGCATGGACTGATGCTCTAACCATTGACCCATGCCAACCAGGGCATTGTCTTGTTTACTTTAAAGACTTTGGGTTTATTATTTTTCCTGTGGCTGTGGGATTGAGTGATCAAGAAAGGGCAGTGGAAGGAAGGTGTCAGTTGCTGGTGTAGGAAGGGTTCCTCCTTATCAAATGAATTATGGATAAGAAATATCAGATAATTAACACCCAATGGGCATTTTCATTTATCTATCCATTATCTATGTTTGTCTGTATATCTATCTACCTATCTATCTATCATCTATCTATCCTTCCCTCCAACTTTCTCCCATACTTCACACTATATCATTATACTGGTCATTTTTATATGCTTTTATTGATTTTAGAGAGAGAGAAAGAAAGAGAGAGAAACATCGATGTGAGAGAGAAACCCATATGCACCTAGACTGGGGATCCAACTTGTAACCTGGCCATATGCCCTGACCAAGAATTGAACCCACCACCCTTTGGTGCACAGGACAATGCTTCAACCAACTGAGCCACACAGACCAGGGCTTGCCCATTTTTGATCTACAAAAATAACAGTTTCATATAGTTCAACCAAATACTTTCTATTCATAAATGTCTGCTTGGACATGTGATATTACCATTTTGGAAATAAAAAAGAGGTCATTTCATATGTTTCAGACTAATAATGTATTATAAATATGTGAAATATTTCTAACATTATTAAAAACTTGGTATTCTGAATCTGATAACTTGTTCTAGTCTCACTTTTGCTATTTATTGGCTATGAATCCTTGAGTAAGTGATTTAATAATGATTAATATCTTAGAGGAGAAATTGTGATAATTGTAATTATTACCATTATTATATCCATATCATAAGGGTGTTGTGAGGATCTGACTGTACTGTCCATGTGACGTGCCTGATAGGCTGTTAACTCAGAATGCAATTATGAATTACTGTTATTGTTGTCACCACTGATAGGGGACATTATTTGCACCATAGCTCTCTTGCCCTCTACCACTTGCAGGGGCTATTGACAATGTGATCCATTCTGCACACAGGTCCCGGCTCCACAAGGATGCAGGAAGAAACCTCTCCAAGGTCTCGGCAACAGAAAAAGCAAGTTTCTCCTGAGCTACTGAAAAAATACAGTGGACACCAACTCTTATAGCAAATAGCTCCTGCCTTTGCTTTACCATCTTGTAAGTCTCTTAACCAAAATAATGGCTCCCTTGAATGAATGAATGGCATCCATACCAGTCCTTGGCTTCATCTAATTTTCTTATCCATAATTTTTCTTTTATCTCAGCTTCTTATATTTTCATAATACCCACTGACCACTATAATTCCCCCATTTTGAAACAAGATAAGGTAAAAACAAGTGAATAAATAAATAAATAAAGCAAAAGTTTGTTTTTCTAGATCAGTCTGGTCTAATTGATCAGGATCATACAACACAGAACTCGTCATCAGATGTTAGTGGTACTAGAAGAACCAACCTCTACTGTCTCTGCTACCTGGTTGCTATGTCCTTATCACATTCAGTAGGGGACTGAGTGTGATGCATCAAACAGGTGTCCCAGATAGAATTCATGGGTATGTATTGAACATAGACCCAAAGGCTGAAAGGCAGCCTATATATCCTTGGCATTTCACTTCCTGAGCTGTGGTGGAAGGGGCTGTGTGCTGACCTTGAGTAGCCCTTGTTCCTGGCATGAGGGAGCCAGTCTGGGTGAGTGGAGGATCTGCTGTAAAGCCTTCCACAGAACTCACTCACTCACTCAGACTCTCCATGATGGCTTTTCTCGTGGCCTGACATATTCCCTAAATAGGTTTAAAAAACACATGTTCTCTTAACTTGTGTAAGTTCCAAGTTTAGCCCTAAAAGCAAGCTGATTGAGTTTTCATAACTTTCTGGAACATCTAGCTTGCTGCTACCCCAAAGATCAGGACTGGAAGGTTCTGTCTCCCCATTCATTTATTGATGCGCCCTCAGTTGCCTCCACATCTTGGTTATTGTAAATAATGCTGCGGTGAGCATAAGGGTGCATATGTCTTTTTAAAGTAGTGGTTTTGTTTTCCTGGCTAAATCCCCAAAAGTGGAATTGCTGGGCCATGATAAGTTTGCACAGTGACAGATGACTAGCCTTAGCGTAGTAATCACACTGTAAAGTATGTAAATATTGTACACCTGAAGTCAATGTGATATTGTACACCAACCATACTTACATTTTTTAAAAAAAGGTTTTATCTCCATGTATCACTCTCACAAGTAGTCAAATCCATCTCTCTAGAACAGCAACTTTCACACAGTATGCCACAAGAATTTTATAAACATGCACTACATGATCATTTAGTCAGGGGCACTGACCTCTTTCCCCTTAGATTGTCAAATAAAAAAAATGACAACAACCAATATAACAATAGCCGTATGATTGAATGAATAAAAATTATACTTTTTTTGTCAGATCAGCAATATATATATATTTTATGTGCTGCGGAGTTTTAGTAATTAGTTTATGTATGCCATGAGATGAAAGGGGTTGAAAATCGCTGCTCTGGATGGAGGAGAGAGCCATGTAGCACAGTGAAAAGAGAACCTGGGGGATGCACAGAATAACTTGAAGTCATAACTTCTATGTTGAAGTGATCACCCTGCCCTATTCCAGCTGTGTGACCTCAGGTAAGTCAGTGGTTCACTATGCACCTAAACCTCCTCACCTGTAACAATGGGATAATAACACCGACCTCAGAAAGTTCTTGTGAGGATTAAATAAAACATCATATCTGAAAACCCCTGGTGAAGAGCATATATTCCTCTTCATGGAATCATAATTATTCTCCTCTATCTACACAAGTTACATATGCTCTTTCTGTTTTTTTTTTTTAAAAGGAAGCATTTCCCCTCTTTCCTCTACCCCCTACTACTCCCTCTCAACCGTCTGAAGACTTGGAGTAAACAAAGGAGCCCAGGTCTAGCAAAGGGAAAAGAACAAAGGCAGGAAGGAAAGGAAGTGGGCTCTTCCTTTATGAGACAGTGAGAAGTAGGAGGCCAACTGTCCCTCAAAATGCTGAAACCCAGGGACAGAGCCAGGGACAGAGCCAGGGAGAGGCAGAGGGTGGAGAGGGAACTTACTTCCATAAGGGGAGCCTGTGGGGGAGCCGTTTAGAAATCCTGGTGACCCTGGAACGCCCAGGTTGGCCATGGGGACGTTGCTGTAGCCATTCATACTGTTACTGGAGGTGCTGTAGTTAGACTGCTGAGGGGTAGAGCTGGAAGAGTAGCCCCGAGGAGAGATGCTGCTTGTGTTGCGGATGTAACCTGGACAACCAAGAAAAGCCCGGGTAAGTGAACTAATGCGCACACACAGTGCAGAGCCAATATGGCAGCCCAGATCCACACCAGCCCAGACTACAGAGCACCACCAACCTGACCCCAACGGGATGGAAAGTGCATATCTTATCTTCATCCTTTAATTCCTTCCTTTCCCTTCCCCATCCTACCAAAGGCAGTGTCCTTCACAGTCCCTCCTTCATCCCTTTTACATTTGCAGTCAACCTCACCAATTCATACCAAGGAATGAATGACTAATGGCAGTGTATACTGACATCTTCCAAATCATATTTCATATAACACTAGAGCCCTATGACATAATAATAAGTATCACTGAGAAAAGCATTGTCTGGTCAAACAAAGTTTGGCAGATGTTGTATACTGTAGCCATTCTTTGAAAATGGGCATATGAAGGACCTAGAGAATTCCTAAACTAATTGAACTTTGCTAACCTAGTATTTCCCAAATTAAACACACCATAGCTTCTGTTCTGGGAGTGGTGGGGAAAAGGCATCCTAATAACACCTCAAGGGCCACTAGTATTCTACAGATCACAGCTTTGGGAATGTTCAAATTTGTTGCCATGCCCTGGGTGGGTGTGGGAAGCATTTTCATTCAAAAAGTGTTGATAAGTTCGTTTAAATGTGCTGTTCTTTGACCAAAGACTTGGAAACATCAGCAATGGAGTTTGGGTAAATTCAGCCTCTAAGTGGGATAGGGGAATGGACAATGAGTCCTCCTCATACTTCTAAAACCCTAGCACAGATGCCAATTAGTCATCACCTAACCTATCCTGAAGTCACCCACTTTGAGGAAACTGTCTCTAGGACTATTTAGGAAATAACCAAAATTTGAAGAAGAAAAAAAAAGAAAAAGAAATATTACATCTCACCCACCCTTCTGCAAGAAATCACCCTGGACATAAGAATGAGGAGTTTCCATCCAATGGACAAAATTAGAAATGAAATTACCTCAAAGTTAGAGACATTATTAAGAATGTTTACTTCTAAAAATGATTTATGACAAATTTAGTACCTTTCAATCTCAAGGACAAAAATATTTATATGATATACTTTACATGTAAAAGCACAGGTAACTGTATAAACTTGTTGCTATTTTTTGTATCTGAGGTAATACACAAAAAGAAGTTGCCAAATAAAACCAAGCCAGTCCCCCTTGGTTACTAGGAAGAGAGAGTTGTGTATCATAAACAATAATGTCAATAATTCAGCTTCTTTACACTATTCAATCTGATGATCACAATGGTAGAAGTATAAATTTTCTTCAAATAATACCTGTAAATCTGATTCAGCGAGCCTAAGCTTTTCTAAAATCATAATAGTTAGTCTGGTCCTTAAGTATTTCCAGGTAAAGGCATTCTACCTATTATCTAAAACACATGTGTCAAACACAAGGCCCGCGGGCCAAATCCGTCCCGCCAGGCCTTGCAATGTGGCCCGCACCGCGCTGTCATCACTGCACTCTGCTGCGTTTCCATCACAATGACAGTTTATGACTGTTCAGTAAACCATTCGGCCCGCGATTTAGGCTGGATTTTAGATTTTGGCCCCTTCTCTGATTGAGTTCGACACCCCTAATCTAAAAGCTCAAACTCTAATAACACACTGCTTATAATCTTGAGATAACCCAACAGTATATGAGTGCATTGCTTATTTGTGGACACTCTTTTGATGGTGTCTAAATCAAACTTTAGCTCCCTGCGCTCAAGCAGAACTAACCTTCGAAATGTATACATTGTTTGGATTTTGACTCTGAGAAAGGTAGTACCTTGATTATTTCCCTGTGTTGACTCTGAGATGCTGACCCCAAGTTGGCTGCCATAAGAATTGATGCCCATCATGCCACTGTGAGCGGGAGAGCTGGAGAGAGCTGGGATCTGGCTGGGATTCCTGGGGACACTGTAGAGGGCTTCAGCAATATCTGCGGCTCGCTTCAAAATGATGTCCTATGAGGGGAAGGGGGTCACAATTATGTCCTACAAAATGGCAGGTTGAGGTGAGCATTTCATCCACAGGCCAACTCAGCCTAGAGTATAGGAGTGAGCTCCTAACCTGGTTATTGTGCGGTGTGCCATAGAGGGCCTCCACGAGATCCGCAGCTCTTTTCAACAGCATTTCCTAGAAAAGAACAAAAGAGTGGGGTATAAGCAAAGGAAGAACTCCAAAGGGCAAACAGAAAGGAAAATTATGTATAAAACATCCAGACATCCCCCTAAAACAGTGGTTCTCAACCTTTCGAATGCTGTGACCCTTTAATACAGTTCTTCATGTTGTGGTGACCCCCAACCATAAAATTATTTTCATTGTTATTTCATAACTGTAATTTTGCTACTGTTAATGAATTGTAATGTAAATATCTGTTTTCTGATAGTCTTAGGAGACCCTGCGAGTGGTTCTCAACCTGTGACCCACAGGTTGAGAACTGCTGCTGTACAGCCTAAGACCATTGGAGAACACAAAGAAGCTCCCACCTCCATCCCTGTGCTCACCAGCCATGAGCCCAGCTCAGGGCTTCTGGTTGAGCAGCACTCCCCCTGTCGGAGCACAATGACCACCAGGGGGCAGATTCTGCATTGAGCGTATGTCCCCTGGTGGTCAGTGTGTGTCATAGAGACTGGTCGTTTTGCTGTTCGGTCGATTTGCATATTAGCTTTTTCTTATATAGGGTATGGAATTCCTCTAGATAAAATGGATCCATAAAATGTGGTGCAACCAAAACAGAAAACAACCAAATTGGAGGTACTCTATCTAATTAATCAAGTATTCTTAAAATGATCGATTGACATGTGTTTAGCTGCTTGCCAAGGAGGTGTCCAAAGTACTGAAATTCTCTTGGCAATACCTTCTGCAAAATTTTATTCTAATAAAGATGAATTCTTCCAATAACATTTCCCCCTGTTCATTTTAACCAGAGAGAATTGGTATTCAGTAATCCCTTTTCTCTCATTTTGTCTTTTCCACCTCCTGTTTTTAACAGCCTTTTAAATTGCTATTAACCTACTTTCCAGATATCACCTAATTTAATAGTGGGGCTGGGGATTTTTCCAACTGGAAATAAAAGTATGATGTAGAAGCAACTGTGGTACTTAAATTTTACGCACTGTAGAGAAAACAGAGCATAGCATACTATATAATGTGTGTATGCTTAAAATGCAAACATAAATGTTAAAATGTATTAATTCCACGTTTATTGAATACCTAATAAATTGATGTATTTTAAAAAAGAAAGCTAAAATAGTGGGATAGATTTTCATAAGCAAATTCATTTAAAACTTCATATAAATTATAGATGGAGGTGTTTTTCACTTTATTAAATGCCTGTATGCATAGTAAGTCCTCAGTGAATACTTGATTGAGGACTAATGTGTCCCTGTAATTATGCGTAAATAAAATTATATTTAAATACAAAGGAGTGAGAAATTACAGTTTTAAGCAATTACACCATTATTTATTTTCATCAAGTTGGCAGTGTTTTATAAGCTGAATATTCACAGTGTATCTGTTTTATAGGCCCAAGTTTTCAGATTTCATATTTCCTCAGAGATTAATCATATTCTATTTCACCGTTAGTAAATATTTTATGTGCATCTTGTATCTAAAGCTTAGCCAAATTTCAAGACCTAACTTAATTTTAGAGGGATTTAAGGGACTGTATTTATCTAAATTTGCTGAAATCCTACAAGACGGCTTTCACATGTTAATTTCCGAAGTGTTTTACCTTCGCTAATCTCTCTGGATCTCCAGGATGCCTGGGGATGACTTTCTGCAGCCTCTGGAAGCCATAGTCTATGGTGGGTTCATTTAATGCTGAAATAGAAAAGTCCTCTTTTTATTCGGTATGAATCCTCTCCACAAAACAAACTTCTCATTAAGTCTTCTGTAAGTCATAGAAAGGTTCTGATACTACCTGTCTAAGAATTGATACATAATGATACAATCAGTTAAAGATTTTTTGTTATTGACATTGGTTAATTCACGCATATCTTTGGAGTTAATGTTAATTTAGTGCTTTTTTTTTCATAAGAATGAGATTGCAAAATTTCAGAATTATTAAAATTACTTTATAACTTAGGCCTTGAGTGCACACACTTGTAATCTTCTGCTCAGTCTTACATAATCAGAAATATTACACAATAAACTCTTCCACAGTTTCTGAAGACAACAAATGAGGAAGGGAGAGGGATAGAGAGTTAGAAACATCGATGAGAGAGAAACATCGATCAGCTGCCTCCTGCACACTCCCCACAGGGGATGTGCCTGCAACCAAGGTACATGCCCTTGACCAGAATCAAACCTGGGACCCTTCAGTCCGCAGGTTGACACTCTTCACTGAGCCAAATCAGTTAGGGCATATGCTACAGTTTTTGAAGTAGATTCCTTTACACTTCTTCCCTTCTTTCTTTAAGTTTAAAGTTTGGTGGTTTAAATTTTGTGGTATTGAAATTAATGTATAATACAAATAAAGAAAAAAGATACCAAAAATAAAGCATTAATCTCCTGCACTCCCCTTAGGCAGCAGTAAACACAGTTCCTTTTTAACCTCCCTTTCTGCATATGTTTTATGAGTATTTGTTGCTATTACTCCAGCAAAACCACAGCTCTTATTTAAAAACACAAACAATTTTGAGTATCGAAGTAAAAATAAAATCTCTCATAACCGCATCAGTTTAGAAATGATGTAGGTTGCTTATATCCTTCCAGATTTAACACACACATACTTAAAATTATTCAGAGACACACTATTCACACTGGTACATAACCTACTTTTATCCATTTAACAATATAGCAAACTTTTCCCCAGGTTATTAAATAATATTTTATAACATTATTTAATATCCCTGTGTATTTTCACTATATAGTCTATAATTTATTTAAATAGTTTCCTAGTGTTTGCATTTAACCTGATCCTAATTTCTCACTATTATAAAAATCAGAGCAATAATTATTCTTTGCACATAGCTTTAATTATTTCAATTGGAAAATTTCAAGAATTAGAATTACTTGACCAAAATTCATCATTATATTAAGGGCTTTCACACATAATGTTAATCACTCCTCAGAAGACTAAAAATTTATACTCTCTTCAGCAATGCATGTCATCATTTTAACTTACATTTTTTTATTTATCAGTGAAGTTGAAATTTTTTTTCTGTACTTGATTTTAATTTCTTCTCTTATGAACTACTTATTAATAATTTCTGCTCTCTTTTCTATTGGGGATTAGTCTCTTTTTTTTACTTGTAAAAACACTTTTAAATTAATATTTTTAACACTCTGACTGTCACTATGTTACAATAATATATCTCAATGTGTTCTTAGATTTTATATGTAGATCATAGACCATCCCAACTCCAAATCTGGCAAGTACACACACACACACACACACACACACACACACACACACTATGTGTGCTTGTGTTTACATATTCAAACATATAAGAGTTCTTTTTTAGGACCAACAATGAAATGTGCATTGTTTATCATATAGGTAGTAAGTTTTTTGTTGCTCACTCTTGCTTTTTGCTATGTATTTCACTTTTTGTTGTTTTTTATTATGAGTATGATTACCCTCTCAACCACAATTGCTAACAGTTTTCCTAGAACCTAAAAGCACTTTAGGTTTTTATATGTCTGTGCAGGCAGTGTCTATGAGAGTAGTGTGGCAATATGTGGTACAGTCACTAATAGAATCAGCTCTACGCCCAGCTGTGGTGGCTCAGTGGTTGAGCATCTACCTGTAAACCAGGAGGTTATGGTCTGATTCCTGGTCAGGGCACATGCCTGGGTTGCAAGCTCAATCCCCAGTGTTTAGGAGGCAGCCATCCAATGATTCTCTCCCATCTTTGATATTTCTATGTCTCTCTCCCTCTCCCTTCTTCTCTAAAATAAATGAAAAAAACATATTTTTCAAAAAGTGAATCAGCTTCAGATCGTGACCATTAATTTTGGTGAACTTCTGTTTATAATTTATCTTACGAGTTTGCCATCAAAATTAAATGAAACAATTTGTATGATGCCTTAGCACAGTCCTTGGCATGTAAAAGAACTTAACTAATTGTAGCTATCTGTTATTTTTCATTCTTAACTTGTACATTACTTTTTTTCATTCTTAACTTGTACATTAATAGCATCTATATGTTGTAACCATTTTGTCTCCTATTGATGGACATATTGATCTCATTTAATTATTTTATTTTTTTTAATTTTTTAAAAATATATATTTTATTGATTTTTTTTACAGAGAGGAAGGGAGAGAGATAGAGAGCAAGAAACGTTGATGAGAAACATCAACCAGCCGCCTCCTGCACACCCCCCACCGAGGATGTGCCTGCAACCAATGTACATGCCCTTGACCGGAATCGAACCCAGGACCTTTCAGTCCGCAGACCGACGCTGTACCACTGAGCCAAACAAGTTTCGGCCCATTTAATTATTTTAATCCCATTCTTGTGTTGTCTAAAACTTCCCAAATAGTGTCTAAAAACCAGGATAGGGTGGATATTTTTGCTTGCTGTCCTCTAAATGACACTAATGTTTCACCACCAAATGTGGTATTGATTATTTAAGACAGATATTAGTTAGCATGCTTTGATAAAAGATTTTATCAGAACTTACTGAAATTTCAGAAAGTTACAATCATATAATGTTCTCCTGATATTTCCTCAATTAAATGTTTATTCATGAGTGTGGTATATAATTTATTTAATATATTTCTGGATTCAATTTGTTAATATTTTCCTAAGACTATTGGTGTGAATATTATATCAATTAAATTACTGAGAATGGTGCCTGACACATATTGTCAACAAATGTCAGTTATTATTATTGTTGCTGGGAATTCGTGTCTATATCAATAACTGAGATTGTGCTCGTGATGCTATCCAGCCTCTGATTGATTTTTATTTTATACCAGCTTTGAACAGTAAATTGAAAAGCTTTCTATATTTTATCGTATGCTCCATAAAACTTTATAGCATGGATATTACTTGTTGACCAAAAGTTTGAAGAACCCCAGTGAAATTGCTCTGTCAGTCACCGAATAACATTTTAGCCAAACCAAGAGGCACTTTTACATTCTTATCTTAAACTCAAACTAGCATTTGACCCTGGAAATACTGCAACCCAAGGGCTTTCCCAATACTCACTGCCCAGTGTCACTCTACGTATGTAGCGATGCTACCTCGGCCTGCTTACATGACTGCTCTTCCTCAGTGTCTTGCAGATGGGATGCTCTTCACCACAGTTGCCAAGACAGTCTTCGGCTCAGCTACACAACTCCTTCTCAAGCCTCATCAGTGCCCTAGGCTTTCCAGGTCAAGCCACATGCTGACTACCATAAATCTTTATGTCCAGTGCAGATCACTTGCCTGAGATTCAGCCCATCTATTCCAACCACGGTCTGGAAATTTCCACTTGGATGTCCCCTAGAATCCTCCCACTCAAGATAACACAAGCCCAAGGGATTCTCGGTAAATTGTCCATCAGCTTGCGAATTTCTTGGTATCTCGTTACCATTGTATTTTTTTTTTTTTTTAGGAAAATCATGCATGTCATCAATATTTTAAATGTTCTAGCATTGGTTCTACAATAATAATTGGTGTAAAATTCAAATCCTCTATTTCTGATTCTCCCCCATCTCTTTGTTGTAACTTTCCTAATAGCCATATTTCTAATTTTATCTTCCTTTTGTTTCTCAGAGAATACCTTAAATTTCTAGGTTGTTAGGTATGAAATTGTTAATTATTTATTCTAGTTAATTGGATTGGGTTTTAAAAAGCTGGCTTAGAGAATATCTGTGTTTTGGAATTTATTAAGTGTTTTATGAATTAATATATATTAATTTGTGTTCTGTGGCTAATGATTCAACTGTATTATTTAATACATCTTTAAAAAAATTTTTTTATTGATTTTTCACAGAGAGGAAGGGAGAAGGATAGAGAGCTAGAAACATCGATGAGAGAGATACATCGATGAGAGAGATACATCGACTAGTTGCCTCCTGCACACCCCCCACCAGGGGAGTGTGCTCACAACTAATGTTCATGTCCTTGACCAGAATCAAATCTGGGACCTTTCAGTCCACAGACCTACGTTCTATCCTCTGAGCCAAACCGGTTTTGGCATATTTAATACATCTTTTGATCACATTATGTAACACATCCTATATAATAATAGAGGAATATGCAAATTGTCTGTTACTTGGCAATGTCACAACCGATCACAGGAGGTTGCCTGCGCATAGGTGCGTGAGTGGGTGTTGCTCCAGAGATGGGGCAGAAGCAGGGAGGCTCCCAGAGGAGGCAGGACTATCCAGTGGTGTCTGGGGTGGCAGCCTGTAGTGCCCCCCTCACCAGTCCTTTGCCACCCAGGGCTCGCATTCAGAGTACCCTGCTGCCCACCTGTATCTGGAGACAGGGTAGAAGTGGGGAGGCACCCAGAGAAGGCGGGACCAGCCCAAGGCAACTGTAGGGACTGAGGGCGGGGCTTGCAGCAGCAAAGAAGGCCAGAGGGGTGGGGGGCTGGGCCATGCATGCTGGAGCTCTGGGTTGAGAGGTTCTGGAGTCAGGGAAGGGTGGGAACCTGAAATTTTGTGCGCTGGGCTCCTAGTTTTATACATAAATGCTACTAAATTTATCCTTCCACATTTCCCTGTCTTTCTGATAGTTTTTTCATATATATTTTTTCTCTAGTGATTAGGAAGATACACATTCTATTTTAATTTAAACCAATACCTTTAGAGTTCTTAAAAAATATTTTATTTTTTCTAATTACTTGAGTCTGTTGAGCCCCTTTGTATGTAAAGATTT